CCACCGAGAGTCTGAACTTGTTATTAAAGGACATTCTCATTTAAGCTTGTCTCGGCATTCGTTACTGGACGGAGGAGGGGGTCAGAACAGATACCTATTTATTCGCCGAATATTGAAGCGTAACACCAGCCCCATAACCTGAAACTTTCAAGTGTTCTCCTTCTATAATTTAAGGTCCATAGTACAGATTTTTTTAAAAAAACGTTCTAAATCTGAAAATCTGAAATTGAATTCAGTTTCCCAGGAGGTCTCAGGAGGAAAGTTAATGGGGGGAGTAAATTGAAATACCTCTTCGGGATCTGTTGTGCTCAAGTCTTCGTGGTTTGGAGAACGCAACAGCGGGGTAGAAGAGGGACTTTTCTCAGCTTCACTAAGATTCTGTGGTTCCAACAAAATGGAGGAAACGGATGCTGGGCTCTCAGATTCCTCGCTATCATCATCCTTGCCTGAGAATAGAAAATCGGAAGTTTATAGATCAAGTATCTTCTTGGGGATCATGGTTGGTCATTCTGCAAGTAGGGTGGAGCGGAGTGGAATGGAACAAAAAATATGGAATGGAATGGAAAATATGGAATGGAGTGGAAAATATGGAATGGAGTGGAATGAAGGGGAGGGGAGTGGAGTGGAATAGATTAGAAAATATGGAATGGAATGGAGGGGTGGGGAGTGCAATGGAATAGAAAATATGGAATGGAGTGGTATGAAGGGGAGGGGAGTGGAATAGAATAGAAAATATGGAATAGAATGGAGGGGAGGGCGTGCAATGGAATGGAAAATATGGAATGGAGTGGAATGGAATGAAGGGGAGGGGAGTGGAATAGAATGGAAAATATGGAATGGAATGGAGAGGAGGGGAGTGAAAGGGAATAGAAAATATGGAATGGAATGGAGTGGAATGAAGGGGAGGGGAATAGAATAGAAAATATGGAATGGAATGAAGGAGAGGGGAGTGGAATAGATTAGAAAATATAGAATGGAATGGAGAGGAGGGGAGTGCAATGGAATGGAAAATATGGAATGGAATGGAGTGGAATGAAGGGGAGGGGAATAGGATAGAAAATATGGAATGGAATGGAGGAGAGGGGAGTGCAATGGAATAGAAAATATGGAATGAAGTGGAGTGGAATGCAGGGGAGGGGAGTGGAATAGAATATATGGAATGGAAGGGAGGGAGTGAAACGGAATAGAAAATATGGAATAGAATAAAAAATTTGGAATGGAATGGAAAAAATGATGGATTTCCATTTTTTTTATTACCGGTTTGTGCATGCGCAGAAGTGTCCGGACGGGTAGGCAGAGCCTCCTGCCGCCACCACTACCAGTTCGCCCGATCTGGGCCGAACCAGGAGCAACCAACCTCTGAATGGAAAATATGGAATGGAGTGGAGTGAAATGGAATAGAAAATAAGGAATGGAATGGAATGAGGTGGAATGGAGGGGAGGGGAATGGAATAGAAAATATGGAATGGAATGGCCGTTCTATACCTTTCTTCCCTTGAGCCAAAATGACCATATCCTGCACCTTCTTGTAGCGATTGAGGGACTGGCGAAGCTCCTCAATCTTCCGATCCTAAAACAAAGAAAGCCCTCCGTTTCAATCACTTAAGGCATGGAATAACAGAGTTCAAAGGGTCCTTGGAGGTCTTCTAGTCCAGCCCCCTTGCCCGAAGCAGGAGATCCTGAAGGCATCCATGCAGTTTCCCAGGATTGAGTGTAAAGCAAAATGTCTCAAGCTGAAGCACGAAAAACTCCAGGACCTTAAGAATGAGGGGTCCTTGATGCTCTCTGAGTTTGGTCTTATGTACGTTTCATTACCCACACTGGGTAGCATCATCAGTGCTAGAAGGGAGGAGGAGGAGGAGGAGGAGGAGGAGGAGGAAAATGACTGTGAGATCCTTGGTGCTCNTCTTCTTCTTCTTCTTCTTCTTCTTCTTCTTCTTCTTCTTCTTCTTCTTCTTCTTCTTCTTCTTCTTCTTCTTCTTCTTCTTCCTGCTTTCAAAATAAACTTTGTTTTCTAATTCTCTTCCTGGCGTGCTTTTCATTCCTTAGGACACCAAATTCTACCACACGCCATGAGAAATTGCGCCTTGAATGAAGCAAATAAGGTCAATTGGGCGCGCAGCGTAGATTAGGCTGGAAAGTGCATCGCAGTCGTGAATTTTTTTGAAGCGTTCTAATTTTTCTAGCCCTCAAACGGCCCAATTATACCCCGAAAGAGTCATCCAGTTAGTTCCACTGCGGGAAAGCATGTGCGGGTGAACAGATCAGCCGATGGGTTTTATCGTCGGTTTATTATTGGATATGCAAATCTTGCCAGCTTGTATTTATGGACTGGCAAGATGTAAATGTCAGGGGGAAAAAGGGCATAAATATATCCTTAAAACATCCCAGGATACAACAAATAAATTGAACCTCGATTGTTCTGTATTTAACAAGCAAGCTGTAGGAAAGCAACCCATTGTTGCTTTCTGGAGAACGGGTGTTGACTCGCGCAAGAAGGCTGTGTGTGGTTCGCACACAACACAACAGGCCACCATTTCGGTTTAAATAAATAACAGACGTTGCGATCATTTTTCCCCGAGATGAAAATGATGAGGATGCTAATGGAGGCTGACTTGCTAATTTATCATGTTTACACAGGCAGATGGGCCTCAATTCCCCAGCAAATGCATTAGCTGACACACGGTTGGTCCTGGAGTTACCACCGTAATGGTCGTTAAGTCAAAACCATTATAAAATGGGTTGGTCACAGGGATGAGCAGGTTTTATTACCTTTCTTTGTCACTAAGCAAATGCTGTGGGAAGGGTCAAGCATGTCATTAGCCTCGAGTCCCTTCACGCTCACAAAATATCTTAAGTTCAACCCACCTTGAATTCCTTATCTCCCGCTCATTTCCCTTGACTGTCAGTTGTTCAGATTCTTTTTTTATTGAAAATTTTTAGAAAAAAAAANTCTATCTCAATCTCTCTCTCTCTCTCTCTCTCTCTCTCTCTTTCTCTCATTCTGTCTCTCAATCTGTCTCTCTTTCTCCCAATCTCTCTCTCTCTCTCTCTGTCTTTCTCTGTCTCTATCTCAATCTGTCTCTCTCTCTGTCTTTCTCTTTCTCTATTCCTGTTTATCAATCTCTCCCTCTTTCTCTCTCTCTTTGTGTTTTTCTCTCTGTCTCTCTCTCTCTGTCTCTCTTTCTGTTTCTCAATCTCTCTCTGCGTGTGTCTGTCTTTCTCTCTCTTTCTGTCTCTCTCTCTTTCTGTTTCTCAATCTCTCTCTCTCTGTGTCTTTCTCTTTCTGTCTCTGTCTCTCTCTCTTTCTCTCTGTTTCTCAATCTCTCTCTCTCTGTGCCTTTCTCTCTCTGTCTCTGTCTCGTTCTCTCTTTCTGTTTCTCAATCTCTTTCTCTTTCTCTCTCTCTGTCTCTCTCTCTCTCTGTCTCGCTCACTTTCTCTCTTTCTGTTTCTCTCTCTCTCTCTCTCTCTCCCTCCCTCCCTCCCCCTTTTTTGTCTAGGACCTCAAGCCATGTGATCCTGTCCACCATTAAACCACCTTTCCAAGCAGCCTCCATGTTTCCAGTGTCTTTTCTCCCCACTTGGAGCTGAACCCAGATGGACGTTTCCTTCCAGCATAGCCATATAACACACGATGACATCTGTCATTAAAGCTTGATAGAAAGGGGGGGGGGAGTTTAGAAAAAATAAAGCCTTTCTTAGGAGAATGATTTCGTTTTGCATGCGTCTACTTTGAGATTAATTTTTCAAACCCCTCCGCTTTGCAAAAGGACCGCAGGGAGGAGCAGATATGAGGCAGCAGTTTTAAATCGGTTGCAGATGTGCTGGGAGCGTGGTTTTGGGGAGCAGAATCCGAGAGGGCTTGGTCGCGCCTTCGCTTCCTGCCGAAAGCCGTTCCAACGATGACGTGACTCGCAGGAGAGGAGAAGTTACACAGGGTGCAGCTCCCCAGTGCGTTTTGCAGGAATGAATATTGTGATTTCTCTTTCTTTCTTTCTTTCTTTCTTTCTTTCTTTCTTTCTTTCTTTCTTTCTTTCTTTCTTTCTTTCTTTCTTTCT